ATTTTAAAAGATGCTCTCATGTATCTAGTTTTATGTGATGTGAATGTGTGTGTTTATGTGCTACTGGCCAGTTTCATAACTCAGGAATTCAGGTGACATGTTAGCCTTCCAATTTTATGGCTTCTAAAACTGAATACCTCCCCTGTCTTTTCTAAAGACTTTGGTAGTGTAGGTATTGGCATGAATGTCTTTGCTTCAGGCCTTATAGTAGTGTATGAGTGGATTCTACAGTTTTCTGTTTGCACACAAACAGGGAATATACATATTTTGTGAAGTTTCTAACCACACTTAAAGAATTGGTGATCTTAGAACAATTTGCTGAATATTTATAGTTGAATAAAACTATATATATGCATGGATAACTATATATATGCTGTATGTGGTCAGCAAGGTTATCCAAAACTCCACCCGTGGAGAATGCTGATGCTGCCGACCTTTCAATGTCTGTTGTGCAAAGAGCCATGACGTTGATACTATGCCACATGCACACCCATTTTCACTTCCCTTGCTTCGGACTCCCAGGGATGTGTGAGTTGGTTCCACAGTTCTCCATTTCATCCCAAAATTTTTAATAAAAACATTCCATTATATTTATTAGAGCATATTAATTGTACAAAATATCGGGTTCCCCTGTGACATTTTCATACACATATCTAACAAACTTTGATTGTATCCACCAAATCTATTAACCTGCCTTATCCCTTCTCCCCTTCCCTTACACACTTTTCTTTCACTTGTGTCCTTATGTCATGTGGCCAACAAAACACACTGGAAGAGTTTGTACTTTTGGCAAATTTTAATGAACATTTCAGGGCAGATGAAAAACGAAGCGTATATCACACACCACCTAAAAACTATAGAAACCTCTTTATGTCATTTTCAACTGGCACCTTTCACACAAGATTTGTTTTTCTTCTTCTTTTTGTTTCCCTAAAACATCAAAAGTCTTGTTAGCTTGAACAAATTTCCAGAGATGCGTTTTCATCAGCTTTTTTCATTGCTGTAACCAAAAGACTTGACAGGAATGATTTTAGAGGAGGAAAAGTTGTCTTGCTCTTGGATTTTGAAGTGCCTCAGGGTATCTGGCCACATAAAAAAGAACCCCTTTCTGCTGAATTCTTCTTGGTCCAGGACAACAGCCTCACTGAAGGAGGAAGCAGTTCATTTCCAAGGCACAGTCATTAGGAAAAGGATCCTGGTGGATCCAGCAGCTGCTGGGTGTCAAACAGGATTTTCATCCAGGGCCAATGAATGCAGGGATGCCAGGAGAGAGGATGGATGCTCCTGGCCTGTGGAGGCTATCCTCGCATGTGATTTGAGGTACCTCCCTGGCTGGGTGAGGGGTGCTTGGACACAGCGGTGTTAAAGCCATCCCATACTATTTCCCATATGAGGGCTTGTCCGTGCAGAGGCTTGCCTGGCCACCGACCTGAAGACCCAATCGCTGGCCCTGTCCTTGGGATGCTGCCCCCCTTAACCTTCATTGGATGGGATTTTCCCTTGAATTTTTTGTTCCCCAATAAAAGTTCACTCCCTGGCTTGCGCTCTCTCTCTCTCACTAGTCTATTCTGTAAAACTTGCCACCACATTAGGAGGCTGGAGGCAGGAGCTAGGAGAAGCCATCTCGGAGCTGGGGTTTAAAGGTAATGAGAGTCTGTTTCTTTAATTAAAACTCACAAGCAATTTCTTGTGCATGGAACCTTCTTTTATGAAGCTCGGGCTGGTCATGTGGCTGACTGGCCTAGGCACTAAGGCAGCAGGGAGAAGGCAGGGGCAGGCAGGCAGGGAGAGGGCATGTGCTGTCCCATCTACTTTTTTATTTTGTCAGTTATACATTTTGGGAGGCAGCAAGCAGGGAAGCTTGTTGTTCTATTTAGTTGTGAGTAGATGAAGTGGGAGGTGGGGCCCCTTCCTCAAAACACAGGGTTCAGCTGATCAGTGAGCCTCAGAGCCCTCTCATAGCACAGCAGGGCCTCCTTCACTTCCCCTTGTAATTCATGGCTGAGCCCCTGGAGGCTGACACTCTCCACAACACTCACATTCTGGTTCACCCGCCTTTGAGCCAGTTTTTCTAAGGCACTTGTAAGTTTTTTCCTGGCAAAGGACATTTCTGGTATCTTTAGACCTTTTAAGTAGTGGGTGATTGCTTTGTGTTCAGATCTCATGTGAAATTGTAGGAAACGGCCATAGCGGAAATGAATGTCTTGCTGTATGTGGTCAGCAAGGTTATCCATGCATAATGCTTTCTGAAAATTTTCCTCTGCCAATCTGCACTGGCCTCTTTCTGCATACATTTCAGCCATGTGAACATAAGCCATCTCAAATCTTGGCCTTAGTCTTAGAGTCTCTTGGAATTCTTTTATAGCCAATTGAACCCATCTGTCCACATTTTCTCTTATCTGCCTTCTAGAGTTCGTATTTCTTGCATTCTTTACTTGAAACAGTTTTGCCCTGTAGCAAAGCCCTAACTGGTGATGCAGGTAGCCAGAGTCGGGTCTTGCCTCTAAGGCTTTCTTAAGGAGCTCAATAGCTTTATCCACACAGCCCTTTTTTCGGTAAAATTTGCTTGCATATTGAAACACATAGGGCTGGGAGGATGTGCTGTTCAGAGCTTCCTCAATGTAGCTTTCTCCCTCTTTTTCCTGTCCTACATCCTGAAGCTTCAGGGCAAGGAGAACCTTAACATATGCATCTTCTGGGTTTAAGCTGACAGCTCTCCTCAGGGGCTCTAGAGAAATTACGTTTTCATTATCATAATCTCCTCGGAAGGAGGAGATGGCGAACCCCAGGCTGAATTCAGGATTTTCAGGCTCCACTCTCAGAGCCCTTTCAAAGCAGGCCTTGGCCCGCTCATAATACTGCCCTCCACACTTCAGCAAGGCCCATCCTTCCTCACAATCCATTTCAGGAAACTCCAGCTGGTAGTGGGAGGGACTTGCGAACTTCTTGCAAGTGTCCTCCACCTTGTTCAGGTAAGTCTGGGCTTCTGCCAATCTGCCCATGTGGTAATACACCCAGGCACAGTTGCCCCAAGTCACCAGGCTCCTCAGGTCCGCCTGGTCTGCATGTTCTCTCTGGACCAAGTCTTCAGCTTCTCTCAAGCTCTGCAGGGCCTCCTCATCCTGGCCTTTCAGGTGCTTCACATAGGCCAGGAAGTTGTGAATCCCCACATTGTATCTGGTGTCTAGGAACTCAATCTCTTCCATGACCCTGCTTTCTAAATCCGGTATTGCATTGTCTTCAATTTCCAGCCCCCACGTGAAGTGACATCTCAACTGCCACAGCTTGTCCTGGATCCCATGATCATGTGCATTCTCACTGTGAAACAAAAGTGGATTTTCTCTGTTAGGTGAGATATAGCCATAAGGAAAACTCCAGTGAAACACCTACTACAACATTAGTGCAAACTGAAAGTTTCACCTGTATTTAGATTTTTAAAAAATAATTTTTAAAAATGTTTTAATTAGTTATACATGACAGTAGAATGCACATTGATACATCATATATAATGGAGTATAATTTGTCATTCTTCTGGATTTCCATAATATAGAATCCTGCCAGTCTTACAGTTAATATGTGTACATAGGGTAATAATGTCTGATTCATTCTACTATCCTTCCTACCCACACACCTCTCCCCTTTATTCACTCTCTTCTACCTAATCTAAAGTAACTCTATTTTTCCATAGTGGCCCCATTGTGAAATAGCATGCATTTATCAGAGAAAACATTAAGCTTTTGATTTTTTGGTGTTGCCTTATTTCACTTATCATAATATTATATTCTCCAGTTCAGTTCTTTACTGGAAATACCATATTTTATTCTTTTATAAAACTGATTAATAGTAACTTATATATATTATGTGTGTGTGTGTGTGTGTGTGTATGAATAAAAATGTGATGTAACAGACACTTCTTAAGAAAGGATATACAATAGACCATTTATTGATTCTTGATTTTACTGTTTGTGCTTCAGGAATCTCATTAAGGAAGTCAGATCCTAAGCTGACATGGTGAAGATTTGGGCCTATTTTTCTTCTATTAGGCACAGGCTCTCTGCTCTAGTGCCTAAAAGGAAACTATCATTAACATGAAGAGAAAGCCCACAGAATGGAGAACATCTTTACTACACACACATCAGATAGAGCACTAATCTCCAGGATATATAAAGACCTCAAAAAACTTAACATCAAAAAAGTAAATAACCCAACCAATAAATGGGCTAAGGAACTGAACAGACGCTTCTCAGAAGAGGATATACAATAGACAATTTATTCATGCTTGATTTTACTTCTTGTTCTTTAGGAGTCTTGTTAAGGAAGCCAGGACCTAATCAGACATGTTGAAGATTTGGGACTATTTTTTCTTCTATTGGGTGCATGGTTTCTGATCTAATTCCTAGGTCCTTAATCCTCTTTGAGTTGAGCTTTGTGCATGGTGAGAAATATTACTTTAATTTCATTTGGCTGCATGTGGATTTCCAGTTTTCCCAGAAACATTTACATTCAACTTCTCTAGTGTTTAGAGAAATGCAAATCAAAACTACTCTAAGATTTTGTCTCACATCAGAATGGTAATTATCAAGAATACAAGCAAAAATAAGTGTTAGCAAAGATGTGGGGAAAAAGTACACTCATACATTGCTGGTTTCAAAGCAAATTGGTGCACATACTGTAGAAAGCAGTATGGAGATGCCACAGAAAATTGGAATGCACCACCATTTGACCCAGCTATCCCACTCCTCAGTCTATATCCAAAGGACTTAAAATCAGCATACTACAGTGATACAGCTATATCATTGTTCATAGCAGCTCAATTCACAATAGCTGAACTGTGGAACCAACCTAGATGCCCTTCAACAGATGAATGGATAAAGAAACTGTGTTATATATACACAATGGAAAATTACTCAGCATTAAAAGAGAATAAAATTATGGTGTTTGAAGGTAAATGGAAGGAGCTGGAGAATATCATGCTAAGGAAAATAATCCAATCCCCAAAACCCAGAGGCTGAATGTACTGTCTTATAAGTGGATACTGATCCATAATGGGGGAGAGGTGGAGAATAGAGGAACACTGATTGCACAAAGCGGAGAGAGGGAAGGTGAGGGGACATGTGGGCAGGAACGATGGTGGAATGAGATGAACATCATTATCCTAGGTACATGTATGACTGCACATGTGGTGGTGACTCTATATTGTCTACAACCAGAGAATTGAAAAGGTGTGCTCCTCTTGTGTAGAATGAATCAAAATGCATTGTTGTATCATGTATAACTAATTTGAACAAATTAAAAAATAATCAATAGATGGGATGGGATTCAAACTAAAATGCTTGTTCTCAGAAAAAAAAATGATAACGTGAAGAGAGAGTAAACAGAAAGGGAGAAAATCATTACCACATGCACCTCTGATATATCTCCAAGATATATCAATAACTCAAACACTCTAACACCAAAAAAGTAAATAACCCAATCAATAAATGGACTCAGGAACTGAACAGACACTTCACAGAAGAACAAGTACAATTGATCAACAAATATATGAAAAGATGTTAAACATCCTTAGCAATTAGAGAAATGCAAATCAAAACTACTCTAAGATTTCATCTAGCCCCAGTCAGAATGGCAATATTCAAGAATACAAGCAAATATAAATGTTGGTGAGGATGTGGGGAAAAGGCACACTCATACATTGCTGGAGGGCCTGCAAATTGCTGCAACCTTTATGGAAAGCAATGTGGAGATTCCTCAGAAAATGTGGCATGGAACCACCATTTGACCCAGCTATCTTCTCCTGAGTCCAAACCCAAAGGACTTAAAATCAGCATATAACAATGATGCGACTGCCGCAGTCTGGCTGGGCAGAAATCACTGAGCCGCCACAAAGCACTTGTATGTTCAAACAGGAAACTTTATTGCCTGAACTCCACCAGCACTCCATGCACCCTCCCCGGGAACTCTCCCGAACGCCACCCACGCGGCCCCTCTCAGGCACCCGTCACCAACTGGAACTCCCACCACTGGAACTTCACCAACCAATGCAAACTCCCCAGGAATCCTCTCGAGAACTCCAAAGTAGTGGGCACCCGAGGTGGACAGCAGGGATCTATATACAATTGAATCAATCTAGCATCATCTTAATGGCTCGCCTCTCAACCATTACTTCTGGCAAAATGCCAGGGGCCATTCTGACACCGCTGTGGCCCTCAACATGAAATGACATTTAGATCTTTAAGCTATGCATGAATAGTGATTGTAGTTTGCTTGGCTTCATAGCATTGTTCTGGCACATTCTAAGCCAGTCACCACTCCATCCTTTAGAATCACATTTGTAAAGTTATGATAACAATGGCACTTGTCACCCTGGCCTTTAGGAACATTAATAAGCCTACTTATGCAGAGCACATTCCATATCACATGCTATGTAAAAGGTTTCTATTTAACTATTACTAAAAAATCAAAAAGACTGATTAGAAATGCGTAGCTTTAGTGAACATTGTCGACTTCGGGACTATAAACTGTGTGCATACAACAAATGAAGACCATTAATCTGAGAATAATATGTGACAAAGGCTTTTATTTTCCCCCTGAGAAATGAACACAAGGCCTCATACATTCTAGGCAATAGTTCTACCACTAAACTACATCCCTAGCCATTTGTATTTTATTTTGATAGAAGGTCTTACTAAAATGCACAGACTGGGTTGCTCTTGGCATAGCCTCCTGATAGCTTGGAATTACAGAAATCTGGAGCATGGATTTTTTTCCCTTAACTTTTTATTGGAAATAAATATAGCATGAAATGTAGTTGTGAGGAGATCCAGTGTATCTTATACCCAATTTCTCCAGTAATTATAACTTTTACGGCTCTAGTACAGTATCAACACAAGCTAATTGCTTTGGTTACCACAACATGTGTACAGCTCTACCATTCTTTCACAAAATAAACCTCTGAAAGCACCACACTGATGCAGATAAAGATCCACTACATCATCACCTCATGTACCCCTTAGAGTCCTACCAGTGGATGCATCTGCTACATTCCTCAGAAATTCATAGCCCTGGGTAACTAAAACTTTGCTCTTTATGGCTGTTACTTTGTCATTTCAAGAATGTGAGGTAAGTGGAGAATGTTATACAACAGGGTGGTTCAACACTTAAAACTCATAATGTAAATGTTCATTAGCAGAGTCACAGAAAAAAGAGTCCGTTTGCAGAAAACCCATCAACAACATTTCCCTCCCTGTCAGGATAACAGAAGGAAATGCCCTAACCCAATAAAGGTTGTATATGAAGTCCACAGCTAGTATCAACCTCAATGAAGAAACAATGAAAGCTTTTTCTCCAGCATCTGGACCAAGGTAAGGATTCTGGCTTTCACCTTTGCCAATTAACATAAATTATATGTACAAGAGTCTCAAGAGGCCACACAAGAACTGTTCCAACTACTAGACAAATGAAGCACAGGAGTAGAATGCAAAATCAGTACGAAAAACTCAGTTGTGTTTCTAAACACAATGATCAATTCAAAAGAGATAAAGAAAACAATCCTATTTACAATAGCATGGAGAAGAATGAAGAATAAACTCAATCAAGGAGGAAAAGGAGACTACACTGAGCACTGCAAGCAATTTTTGAAAGAAAGAAGACACACGGAAGAGTGAAAGACATCCCAAATTCATGGGCCAGACGCTTAATATTGCTAAGTCATCAGTACTGCCCAAAATGAGCTACAGATTCAGGGCAATCCCTACCAACGTTCCACTGAAAGTTTCTTTCAGGAGTAGAAAATTTCATCCTAAAATTCATGTGGTGTCTCAGTATATTATTAGTCAGGGTTCTCTGGTACAGAATGTTCTTTGGAACAGTTCTGTTCTCAGGAACAGAATCAACAGGAAGTATAATTATAAAAAGGGGACTTATTAGGTTGGTTTATGCAACCAGAAGCTGAATAGTCCACAATGGCCATCTGTAGGCTGGAGAGCTGGGAAAACCAGTAGCTGTGCAGAACAAGAGGGATCAATGGTGCTATTCCAGTCTGAGCACTAAGACTCCTGGAGAATCAAGTGTCAGAATCTGCTTCAGAAAAGTGAAAAAGAGAGAGTCTGATATCCTCAGATATGGTACCAGCAATCAAGAAGACTTTCAGGAAGAATCCAGCTTGCATCTTCTGCTGTTTCTTTGTTCTTCCAACTTTTATTCCATTTAAGCCATCCTCCTATTGGAGGCTCTCCTTTTGGGTAGGCTATCCCACATGCCAATCATTCCTAGACTCATATCATGGACACACCCAGAATCCTCAGCATCTTTTATCACAATCAAGTTGGCAATGCAGATTAACTATTACACAAAGGCACTGAGATAGCCAAAATAATCTTGTGAACAAAGAACAAAGCTAGACCTCTCACACTTTCTGGTTTTAGAAGTGAATACAAAGCTATAGAAATCCAAACATTATGGTGTGGCCTAATCACCACATGAAAGATATAAGGAACACAAAGACCAAGAAAAGAGAGACCCTGGAAATAAACTCTTGTCTGTAGAGTTACATTAGTCAGCCCAGGCTGCCATAATAACAAAGAATGTGGTGTTAGAACTCTTCTCAGGGTTCTGGATGCTAGAATTGCAAGTAAAAGTGTGTGTCTATGGTACCTAGCAAGGGCTCTTTATAGAAGGCAACTGACTTAGAGACGGCCACATGAATTATTTATTTTTTAAATATTTTTTAGTTCAAGGTGGACACAATACCTTTATTTTGTTTATGTACATGTGGTGCTGAAAATTGAACCCTCACATATGGTAGGCAAGTGCGCTGCCACTGAGCCAAAACCCCAGCCCAGTGGCCACTTTCCTTGTACTTCACTTGGCCATCCCTCCCTGGCCCATGAATGCAGACAACTTAGGTGTCTCTTCCCCAATTTCTAATGAAATTTATCCTGGAGAAGTAAGGCCTCATGCTATGTTTCCCCTTAATTTTTGCTATATCCTTCAAGACCCTATCTCAAAAGAATGTCTCAGTATGGAGCCTATTCAGAGATTTGAACTTAGTGATTTGGGGAGGGGACACAATTCATTTCAGAACTCTGGTGAAGCAATTTTTTGACAAGCATGTCAAGGCCACTCACTGGGATAAAGGACAGTCTTTACAACCAATGTTGTGGAAAAACCAGAACACCAGTTGTACAACATTGAGTTGGACCTGATTTAGTATACTAAATGACTCAAAATGAATTAAAAACCTAAATGTGAAACTAAAACAATAAAACTTGCAGAGGAAAATATAAGGGAAAAGCTTCCTGATATTGCATTTGGCAATGCTTTCTTGGCTGTGACAACCAAACACAGGAAACAACAGAAAAGAAATGAGTTGGACTTGACCAAAATGAAGAAATTTGTGCAGTAAAGGTCACCATCAACAGAATGATAAAAGAGCTCCCAGAATGATAGAAAATATTTGCAATCACTATCTGAAATTAGTGTATCTTTAGCATACGTTGATGCTCAAAACAATTGGAAACAGGTTTGAAAGCAACACTTGTGCATGGATGTTTATTGCAGCACTGTCTATAGTCAAAGGTGACAACTGCACAAATGTTCATGAATTGATAAATGGATAAGCAGATGTCATATACCCACACAACTGGATATTATTCAGCCATGGAAAGCAACAAAGGCTGATACATGTTACAATAGGGAAGAGCCTTTAAATCATGATGGTCCCCAAGTGTAGGTGTGTGTGCCTGTAATCAAGCTTATCAGGAGGCTGAGGCAGGGGGGCTGCAAGTCTGAGGCTACCCTGGGCAACTTAGTGAGAGCCCTTATCACAATATAATGTGAAAAAGGGCTAGGAATGTAGCTCTATGGTAGAGTGCATGCCTCACCTTAGAGAGGTCCTGGGTTCAATGTTCAGTGCTGCTCACTCCAAAAAAACCAAATTTATGGCAGATGATGGAACACAGGACAAAAGGACATTGAAGTGTTCTACTATTTTTTCTTCTTCTTCTTTGGTTTTGAGATTTCTCCTAAGTGTGATTGTAAACTCTATTCCTGCTCTGATGTAACTCCATGGTATCTGTTCCTGGATATCTGCAGTGTGCCTTCAGTGGCTACTTCTTCATCCTGGTGTATAGCCCAATACCTGTGTGTCTGACCCATGACCAGGTGTCCCCTGTCCCCTCACAGCAAACCTCTTTATACTGGAAAACCATCCAGTGGCTTCTGTTGGACCTTCTCTACCTTCTTCACAACAAACTAACCACTCTCTGCCGCAGACATGTCCATCAGGAGAGACACAGAGGCAGCCACTCCAAGTCACAGGGGAAATAACAGAAGCAAGTTCTCACTAACAGATCCCAGAGAAAAGACAGCAAGACCCCTTGCAGGGAGAACAGGAATTGGGGAGCTTCAGAGACACTGAAGCTCAACCAGTGGGTGGGGAGAAAAACAAGGAAGATGATAAATACTAGTAAATTTTAGACTTTGAAAAGTTAAAATGGCAAATTTTGTCCTAGTGCTATTTTATACACATTTTGTCATGGCACATATTGAAATTAACATTAAACCATTAAAACAGAACAACTGATTATGATGACATCTGAAATGATGTCAGGAAACCACACTGTAACTCTTTTGGAGAAACTGGCTTAACAGTTTAATACACTGTCTTACTCATATCTCAGCTCCACCTCTTATGGACTGGGTGATCCTAGCTTATCTAAGTCAGACAACACCTCTGTAAAATTAGGATAAAAAATTGCCTCATAGTTTACTTTTAAGGATTCAATGTAGTAATTTAAAAATAGTTTTAGAAAACAGATTAGCATTGAATAATTATTCTGAATGAGATAGCTACCTTGTATCCTTTGGTATTATTACTCTTTCTCATTTTAGATTATCAGTTCCAAGTCAATATTTGGCAGAGGGTTGACCTGTGGTTTTGTAGTTTCTGGAAATTCTGCCTCTTCCAAGTTTTTCCCAGAAGGGACATTTGCAAGTCAATATTAACTCAAAGAATTATATCTGCTGATCTCTGGAGTTGCTCGATTCAAGATTCAGCTGGGACCATAGAGAAATTCCCAAAGGGCCTTTCTGATAAGGAAGATGTGGATGTTCCCAAGCAGAGACCTCCAGCCAAGACCCATGGACAGGTAGATGCCAAGGACCTGCAGGTGATGGGCAGCCCCAGGAAACGTGATGTGCTCACCTTCAATCTACTCAGAGCTTCATCAGAGCTGGCCCCTCAGAAGGTGAGTTGAGGAGTCTCCAGAGGAAGGCCATGAGCCTCTCACCCCATCCCCACAGTGTCTCCCCAGGCATCTGGGAGGCTCCATTGAACCTCACACTACTGTGTGGGTCCTTTCCCACCAAAATGAGGAGTGAGGAGAAAGAGAGGTCTCTAACCCGAGAAGCTGATCTCTTTTCCCTAGATGGGCAATAGTGTGAGGAAAAAGAATTTCTGATTCTGGAATCATTTTCTCTCTTCTTGCGAAACTCTTATCCTCTGTCCTACCCTTCTTCAGGGAATTGCATGAATGTAGTTACAAAAGTTCAACAGAAATGAAAATGCTTACACTAATACAAAAGCTTAGCTGTTTCTATAAATGCACTTGCATGTTACACACACACACACACACACACAAGCACACACACACACACACATTAGTCTATGAACAGGTACTCAAATAGAAAGTTTAGGATGCCTGAGAATCAACCTGTTGAGGTAGTATGGATTAATTTTGCTTCTAAACTTTAGACAGGAGGGCAAAAAAAGCAGAGAATTTCTCACCTCATGGTTGCTGTGAATGAGGATGCAGTTCTGCAGTTTTTTAGTGGAGTGGGCTTTTCAGAGATCTGGTGGTCTGTCTGTAGGTATTCTCCTAATGAAACTCAGGACAAGGCTTTATAAGCAACAGATGATGTAATCTGCAGAAGTCTCCTTGCAATAGGAGAGTGGAATCTGGAAGTAGAAAGTGAAAGTGGAAAGTTCCTGCTGATAGAAACTAAACCTTAAGCAGAGATGGGGATTCCCTCTTGGTTTCCTTTTGAGAACTGGTTAAGAGAAGGCTGGTGACAGAGACTGTCCTGAGGTGTGAATTCCTGTCTCTCAGCCTGCAGGACCGCTGGGGGCAAGGACATGGGAGTTACTGCAGAGTCAGTCCCCTGAGACTATGGCAGCAGGACCTGTGAAGATGGCTGTGTGAACTTGGAGAAGTCATGCCTCCCCTCAGCTTCCTGTTTGCCCATCTGGAAACAGAGATTGTTTAGATATGGCATAGCATTATGTAATTCTCTGAATAGGAATCTTATCCTAAATGTGCTGCATTTTTGAGAGGTTTGCATTCCTATGTATTGTGTCCTCATCATGTGGAAAGGCATAGTGAAGGAGAAGACCCCACTACATTGCAGATGGGAAGCACTGACTGGTGCATGGGTAGGGGGAGGTGGGGGGGAGAGAGAGAGAGGAGAGAGAGAGAGAGAGAGAGGAGAGAGAGAGAGAGAGAGAATTTTTAATATTTATTTTTTAGTTCTCGGCGACCTAGGACAAGCAGCAGGGAGAGAGCTCAAGGGGAAAGAGGGAAG